ATATATATATATATATATATATATGTTTTCCTTATTTTGTGTGTGTATATATGTATATGTCTACATATCGTACGCACGCAAGTACATGTAAAATGTATGTGATTTTAATAGGATCAATGTACATGTATATAGAATGATTCATTTATTTTGATAAACACACTTCCGTCTTTTCTAAAATAGAGAAAAGTATATAAAAAAGAAGTTGTTTAGTTCAGCGTAATAATTTTTCAAAATCGCAGTTTTCAATGATTACGCATTTTACGCATTTGTAGAGATAAAGTATATTTGATATATATGATGCATTTTTTAAAGATAAGAATTGTAATAAGTTAAGTAATTAAATAACTAAGAAATATATTTTTTTATAACTTTATTATGTTCGATATATAACAAGCGTAAATTTTAAAAATTTCATAAATTTTATAAACTAATCTTATTATGATAATAAAAATTTTTTTTTTGAACTAGACAACTTTTTTTATTTTTTATTTTTTTATAGTATTAAGCTATCAAAATAAATGAATCAATTACATAAGGGCATGAGTGAGTGTATGCGCGTTTTGCAAAATATATTTATTATATTGTGTACTATATATAAATATTATATTATATCATAGTACACATATTATTGTTCTGTATACAGGTTGTTCCATAAATAACAAGATCATTTTTTAAGAATCTGAAATTCTATTTGTAATACATAATGTATAATAATATAATTTTCAGTTATTATAGAATCAAAGAAACATTTACATTTTGAATATATTTCAATCATGTACATATGCGAATCTGTTTGTTTTTAAATAAAACAATGTATAAAATGATAAAAATAAACAGAGTAAAAGAGATAAAAAAAAATACGATCTATGAAATATTTATGAAATGACCTGTATCTAATAAAAATTATAATTTAGAGATAAGAAATATAAAATAAATAAAATTATTTCGTACAAAAACATCTCGACAAATGTTAAAGATTAATTATCCTTAAAAACAGATCTTAATTTTTAATAAATGTCAGATGGCGCACATTGTGATGTATAACTTTGTACATAAATCAAGATTTCATTACGATATAATATTAATTAATAATTTTTTA